GTAACCTACTGTACAACAGAGCGATATCCACGACTTACCCGCTTTATTTTTTTATTTACAGATTGTATAAAACACTAGTAATATATAATATATTTTGAAATAGACTACAGTAGGTACAGCGCCGGTGGAAGGGCAGGGCAGGGCAGAAAAGACATCTGCCCAGCCRCCCAGGGCCCGGCCATTTTAGGGACCCCGCGCCTTGTTTATTGGCATTTGATGATTTTTAAGCTCATCATTTTGTTTTTCAAGTTAAAAATACAAGTCCCGTTTGGCCGTCCGCTGCAGTTGTGGCTTGTGGATTTTTATATAACCTATCCGTCCTATTTTCTTTTTTATTAACCTATAAGTACTAGACAAGTGAAGAAAATTTTTTACCCCAAAAAAAATGTCTAGGACCCATGAAAAAAAATCTTCCTCGGGACCCACAAAACCTGCCACCGGCACTGAGTAGGTACTGAGTTATAAAGTGTCCCCTGATTCGATTAACACGACCTAGGCCGATATTAGCCTATACATACCTGCACGGCTACACTTATATGGATACATCTTTATATATATATATAGGATGTACCTATATAGGTCATACTATTAGAACTTAGGTACTCATAAAAATCTTCTTACCTATATCATATATCTACAACCTACTATAAAAGTGTCAAAGTTGTTCACATTTAAACATCGTTATTGAACCAATAAGGTTAGTCAGTACTCAGTTTCAGTATAATAATAATTTAACAATAGCCCGCTAGCCGCTGCCTACAGATTTAAAATTATTAACACTTATAAAATAAAAACTATAATTTATTAAATTGGTCTTTTCATATACCTATACCTACCTGTAATTATATGTTGTATTAGCATCAAACTATGTTAACCTCAATCCTTTTCAAAATTCAAAATATTCTGTTCAATATATAATTTATATAAATCATTATAATATCAATATAAAATTATAGCTAAATCATAGCAGCTAGCATTCCTAAAATAAGTTGATAATTTTGTAATAACTACTCTCTTAGCCTCTCAAAAAATTTGCAATTCCCTCATATATACTTCTTGTTTGTTGGGTATTTTTATTTTATGGCTTGTAAATTATAAWARCATACTGRAAAGTATGGGTTTATTAAATCATTTATAAATTTGATTCTATTTTTGTCCTTTTTTTAAATAAGTAATTTTTATTCATAGCCTGGTTCGTCTCATATAATTCTTAATTCTTATGAACCTTTTAAATTTTAAATTCAAAATTATTAATAAACAAATAGGTAGTGCTTTCACTGGATGGCTTCTTCCCTCACGTTTTCATGCAAAAAAAAAAATAAATAAAAATATTATATCACATATTCATATTATGCCCAAGGGTACAGATTGTATACTTCTTGTTAAAATTTAAAAATAAAAATTTCAATTCATCGACGAACACATGTCTTGGTTTTACAAAATTATGTGTGATTTTTTTATCCCACCATCAACTTTGGTAACAGTAAACATTAATTTCTTCAATTTTGAAAGTGGTTTCTGCGGTAAGAAATTGAATCTAATTTGAACTTGATTACCTAGTCAAAAGTAAAAAATCAACAAAAATATTTTTATTTTATCGGAAAAATCAAMGAAAAATATTAAGAAAAAATATAGGAATTTGTATATTATATAGAAACGCAAAACCAATTTTCATCAAGATTGGTTGTTTTTTTTTTGTTGCTGTWATTAATCGATTTTTTCACAATATATATTATATTTATTGTATTAGTATTTTTAGACGTAATAAGATGAATTTCAAAATATTTTGGATCTTTGGGTTTTTGATTTTGACATTTATTTATTTATGTATGATCATAATGTACAATATTGAATAGCTAGGTATGAACGAAGGTCTAAATAACGCGAAACTGAGGAAAATATTCAATGAACATAATAAAGTATAATATAGGTTTAAAAAGTCGAAGACAGTTGGGCAGGACATCTRTGAAGAGCGGAGCCGTGGAAGACGTATGATAGATTGATTAGAAAACAATAATTAACAAAGTCAATCAAAACCAAGAGGACAAAATTTCTCACGAGTAATGAAGTATAGTCAACCACTTACCTACTTCCTATTTAGGAAATCCGCTCTCACGCTTATTATATAGTTATATTTATAAATATAGGTATTGTAGTGTAGGTATTTATAATTTATTATGTAGCTCGYGCAATGTATAGGTATTAGGCACCTACAGGTACCTTTCCTACAATTTTTKTCAACTAATATTATTTAGAATCTGCAACTGCAGACAAATACTCATTATTGTACTTTTTACTTTTTTCACTAAGTTATACAATGTAATCACGGTTAGTTTTTACTAACAAATGAACACTTCACAACACAGTGTAATTATTAATTAACCTATCCATTATGTATTTATGTCACTTAATATAATATAAATAACCAGCCTTAAATATAATAATATTAATGATATTACATAATTTTAAACAAAACATCAATAATTACTGAAAAATATAGTCTATACATTTTCATTAATAGACACTATATATAGATAGGTATTATTATTTTTACGTGTAAAATACTGGAATCTATCAATATTCTAATTATTATAAAATTTTTGCTTTTTTTTCCGTTAATAATAAATACGCAAATTCGAAATTTCCTAAATATTATTATTTTATTGTTCACTCTTAAACTATGATGGTGGAAAAGATTAAATTATGGACCAAATAAATGAGATAGTGTCAAAATG